CCCGATCCGAACCTCGACCCAAATCTATAAGCCACACTTCCCTCAGCCCACTCAAAACTCTGAGGGAGATAGGTTCCCATTACTATAAAATGCGGACCCTCTAATCCTCTAAGTAATAATGTTCCCATTACTCCGTAAATATAATGAATGCTATGCTACATTGGTTTACTTGCTGCCAATGAAGCAAGTGCAAGATTAGTAATAATTACCTACGGAGTACAAGTTGTTAATTGTTCCATACAACTTTCGGTGGAATAATTATCTCTCAATTAATTTTATGAGAAAATCATACAAATTTTCACTCAAGCATTGAATATTCGAATTTGAGTGATTCACTTGGCTTCAAAAGCTTATTTAGATTTTAAATTAGATCACAACCACATGAGACTAAGAGCTTGTTCTCCTCAAACTTATTCTAATTCGAATTGTATCAGATCATATCAAAACGGAAACATTTTTAAATGTGACTACAATAAGATCAGACTATATTATACTCCCTCCGTCCCATGAAACCTTTCTCCTTTCTTTTTTTATTCGTCCCACAAAACACTTCTCATTTCTATCAAAAAGTCACTTTTACCCCTTACTTTTTCATACCCTAACTATCACATCATACCTTTTTACTAATAATCTATCCATCAAAGGCCATTTTTGGAAATTCAATACCAAAATACACTCCCCTTACATCCCTTTTAAAAAGTAAAAGTCTCATGTTTCATGGGACGGAGGGAGTATTAGAACTTATTTCAATCGATCAGGTGAAGAGAATAAATCCTAATATATTTTTTTATCTCTTGAAAAGAATTAATAAATGCATTTCCTTTTCAAAATTTTGTATGCACGCTTTGGAAAAGATACAAACATGCATAATTAATTTTTTAAAAATCTTCTGAAAATTATAAAAAAAATTCATATAATCGTATTTTGCCAGCATTGTTCTCATAAATGAATATGGTTGACGACTAAGGCTGCATTTCACTTGCCTGATTTAATCCAATTTTTTGAAAATCTACTTAGTTCTAATCTGATTGTAAATATATTTAAAGTTATTTGTTAATCTAATATGATTTTAATAAGAATAAGTAATAAGTTGAACAACATATTTTTTTAGAATGTTATATTGATATGAATTTTTTCATTATTATTATAATTATACACTACTCGAAAAGTACGTTATTATGCATCCATAATTGTCTCCATTAAGTTAGCTCCTGCAGTATATAGTAATACCATAGAGCATATAATTGATTGGTGTGGCAATATAATTTCATATGATTACTTAAAGTGGGGTGGTTTTAGTTGTAACGCACTGTAACTATTGTTATCTATCTAATGTGCGACTTTCTTGACGATGACCTCTTCATGTGTTGGAGGAACTATTAGTGTGGAATAAAACAAAAATATAGGTTGGTAAATGAAGTACGGTATTTTAATTCGGCAAGGATCTTTTGACCTCAGGTCATATTATGAATCGTCGGTAACGAAGCAACTCAGCTCAGCTGGTTGTGGAGTTACCCTTCCAGAGGAGAGGTCTCGAGTTCGAGTCCCACTCTCCGCCAGTGGAACTATGCCTCCCCAAAAAACCCTTCAAGTGGTAGGGCCAAGCGGTGTATACTAACCCGTAGGGCCAAGCCAAAGTTGGGTTTCTGGGGTATGGGGCCGCGAAAGCGGTGGGGCTAGTCACTATAAAAAGTTTACCCTACCACAGTTTAGACCCGCATGGGTAGCTCAGTTGGTCAAGAGCGTGAAATCTTGGATCAATGACCAGGGATCGAGTCCCGGAAGCGGCAGTGTGGGAGTTATCCAAAAATCCCATAAAGGGTGAGGAGGCTCCTTGTGCGTGGTGGGCACGGGTCTAGCATTCTTGACCGATTGAGTCACCATTATTTACATCCTCCACCATTCCTGTCGGGCAAGGGGGTGGGGGCGCCTGGGGTGGGCGATTCCACCTTTTGGATCAATGAATCGTCGGTGTTCCGGGTTCCTACCCCCTAACACCCCTTAAACCCTACTCCGATCCACTGCCCCTTATCTAAATTGGTTTTCAATATTTAAATAAATAGAATAAAACTGACTTCACTTAATCGTATCATAAACTAATATGAAATTTAGTTAGAAATGAAGAGAGTAGTTTATATATTCATTGAAAGTATTACTATAAATGAAATGAAACAATAAAAACTGAAAAATAATATTCTAATGAAAATAAATATCTCTATTCTTTAATTAAATGTATAGTAAAATCATAAATAATGTTAGCATAATATAATAAGTCACCTGGATATATTTTATTTTGATCATTTGTATTTTATAATACAATTAAAATTAGGGTTAAATACGTTTTTTGTTAAAATCATCCCTACAAAATATTTACTTTGAAAATAGTCCTTAAACATAATTAGCACTTCTAATTGAATGAGATAGTATATTTATTTCATACTCAACATCTTAGTCTTGCATTTCTAATTACGTCCAAAGCAATCTCCAAATCCTAAATTGTGTACTTATTCATATTACATATGTCCAGTTCTCAAATTCCTTACAAATATAATATAATAAAAATTTGAGAATTGGAAATGCAATATGATAAAGGACACAATTATTGACATCAAAATTGTATCTGAAATAATTGGAAATCTAAAACTAAGCTATTGAGTACGAAATAAATATGCTATGTTAACAAATTCAAAGTCTCAATTACGTATAAAGATCATTATCAAAATAAAAATTTTGTAAGGATGGTTTAAAGAAAAATTGTTTTTCAAGGACCACAAACAAAACTTACATGTTTTTAAGGGACTAAAAATATATTTAACCCTTAAAATTATCATAATAAATAGAAAGAATAATAAATTTGTAAATTAAATCATAAATAATTTAAGAACTATTAACCATAAGCTGTCTAGTAATTATATCAAACTATAAAAATAATATAATTAAATTACCAAATAATATCTAGGATATTTTACCTATTTAAACAATTTATAGTCTAATCATCTCATGTTTTATAAACTTTTATTGTAGTTTTATAATAATTTTTTGTTCATTAACTTACATCAATTTTTAAATAAATATAATCAAAATTGTCTACTTCATTTTAAATCAATAATAGAAAATATAAAATTTATTTAGAAGTGAAGAAGTATCTTATTAATTACTTAGAAGTTTTGTTATAATTGAATAGAAAAATATGCACAATTATTTCATGCCATACTATTAATTACTTACTTTCCAAATTATAATTTATAATTACTTGTTTCACTAGTACGGAAATATTTATTTACTTAGAAGTTTTGAGACTATTTTGAACATATTCCATCCAAATTTATGAGAATAATTTGAAAGATAAGTTTATCATTATTGAAATTATATTTTAAAATTCACCGTTACAATAAAGATTTGTCATCTTACCTTAATATAATTACATATGTTTGACGCATGTCAATTTTATAGCAAACAGAGTCTCAACTTATATTTTAATATTTATAAATTTTTTACTTGAACTCGAATCATCAAAGCTAAACGGGTAACCATATATATCATGTCTCAATAATAAATGAATGTGATGTAGATTCAAATGGATGGGAGCGCCGTTAAAGGCTGCAATTCCGGGCTTTCCAAATCTTATTAAATGGGCAGACAGGGCCCATCCCATGCATTTGTTTGTTTGTTTGTTAGCTGTAAACTCCAACTTGAAATCCGCGGATCTCTTTTGCTGACTATTTTGTACCATCATAAGATACATTGTCTTTGGGTCTATTTCTGTAAATTCATTGATTCCACTCTTTTACACAAAGAAAAAAAAAACATTTTTTTATTATTTATTCGGACCTCATTTTCTATTACACTGTTCATACGTCCAGATTTCATTCGGTAATAATGTTTTAAGATATTTGTTAATAATATAAAAAAAATAGATGAGCCCCATCCTCGAGGGTACCCTCAGACCCTTCCGGACGGTCACTGAAAAGAGATAAATTAAATTTTAAAGACAGATTGATGGCAAAGACTAAAACCTCTATCGCAGTTCGTAGGAATCGAACTCGTGACTTATTCCCTTAGCACCTCTTGTCTCACTCCTTTGTTTATAATATAGAATAAATTAAAAAATACCAAGTTTTAAAATAAAACATGGTCATTAAATAATTGTTCCAAATTATTAAAAATAAACGCCGAAGTTGTTGTGACACCTATCAATTAGAAAAGTGAATTGTGTCTACAATTTGAAATCTTATTTATAGAATTTGGAGTATAGGATCTCGAAAATTAAGTCTAGAGTCTAGACATGGTAATAACTTTTACTAAATTTTAAAAAGAGAAATCTAACGACTGAGAATCGAAGTATATATAAAAATGAAGGAAATTCTTAACTCGAATAAAAAAGGAAAGCACACGTAAAATCTACACTAAAAAGTTTGCAAATAGAGTGACAATATCACTCCTCTCAAATATTTGTAAAATATTAAATAAAGTTTCATATTAGAATAAAAAATATTTAAAATTGTGTGTTTAGAAAAAAAATTGAACTACCTTTTTCTCTTTAATGTACTAAGAAAAAGACTTTAGAAAAGGGAAATCATTATTTAAAGACCAACAAAAGTACCAAACCTTTTTATGGAACATCATTACTTCGGTACTTCATAGAATAGAACAATGCCAAACATTCTAAAGAACATTTTCATGCCATTAAAAATTTCTGATTCTAATTTTAAAAGGGGTATCTGAATCTGAATCAATCCATAGTTGTACCACAAAATATCTACTTTTTTAATCTGTACAACTTTTTTTTTCTTTCAACCTAAAAAAAATATATACTCCCCCTTTTTAACCGATTATTATATATTTATTGACAATTAAAAAAATGAGTAAATACAGACATAAATACATTTATATTTATTTATTTTTCAATGTATCAAAAAAATCATTAAAACCATTCCTGCTTGATATTTCATAAAGATCCACAAAATCATATCCTTTTCTCTCATCATTCAATTCCATACCAAATCTAACCAGAAAAGAGAATTGAGGAAGCACTAAAACTTCCATTTCCATCACTGCCCTTCTTGAGCAAACTCAGTTCTCTCTGTGCTGAGGAAGAAGAAGAAGACGACGACGTCACCGCATCCGCCGCCTTGGTGCATTCCTCCGCCGCCTCCTCCTCCCTTTCCCGCCTGATCTCCTTCAGCATCGCCGCCACGTCTTTCATCGTGGGCCGCTCCGAAGGGGCGGGATTTACGCACAACAACGCTATCCCCAACGCCTGCATCATTTCCTCGACATCCGAATCCGGGCCCGCACACAAGCTCGGCTCGAGGACCTCCGCCCCTCCACCCCCTCCTCCCCGTCGCTTCCGTACCCAATCGACAATGTGGGCCCCCTCCGGTATCGTTGGATCAATCGGTTGCTTCCCCGTCAGCACTTCCAACATCACCACTCCGTAGCTGTACACGTCGCTCTTCTTCGAGATCTTCATCGCGTATCCGTATTCTACATATATGACAAGCAAATTAAGTTATTTATTTAACCATCAAAACCAACGAGATTCGAATATAAAGGTCACACTAAACTGGGTCGTAAGACACTTGAGACAAATAAACCGAACCTAATTCAGAGCATAATTAATAATCAAACGAAACGCGCGCGCGTACCGGGGGCAATATATCCGTACGAACCCGCAACGGTGTTGGAAGAACGACCGAAATCGCCACCATCGACAAGCTTGGCAAGGCCGAAGTCAGCAATGTAGGGTTCAAAATCAAGACCAATGAGAATGTTGTTGGCCTTTATGTCTCTATGAACAATAGGAGGGTCACAATCATGGTGCAGGTAAGCAATTCCCTGGGCTGCCCCTAACAGAATCCTGTACCTCTGTTCCCACACCAATGGAGTCCCACTCTTCTCGTGTAGGACACTCCCCAGGCTCCCATTCGGCTTGTAGTCGTACATAAGCAACCGCATGTTCCTATTCCAGCAACAACCCAAGAATCTAACGATGTTCTTGTGCCGTACCGAGCCTAGCGTTCTCACCTCCGTCGAGAACGAGTCGTGGTGGGCCCCGCTCGTTTTCGCGGACACTGGCCATAGCTTCTTCACTGCAATGACATCCCCGTTGTCCATATCGGCGCGGTAAACCACTCCGGAACAGCCCTTGCCGATTACATTGGAGTCGACTAAGCATTTCAGTACCTCTTCTACTGAGAAACTGAGCTTCTGGAAGGGAGTGAACTGCCACGACCACGAATCCCCCATCTCCGAGTCGTCATCCCCTCTCATTGTCTTCCGCGTTCGCAGTATGAAAACCGCGAACGCGAAGACCATTACGACCGTCGTGGCGACGAGCAACGCAATGGCCAGCCTCAGCTGTTTTGACTTCTTTGCGACTTTCGCCTCGTGGTCAATGTTGCTTAGGAAGCATGAAGGCTGGGTCGAAGTGCACAACCCTTGGTTCCCGATGAGAAGCGAAGGAGACAATTGCCGAAAGAGGGTGGTGTCGGGGAGATACCCAGTGAAGTTATTGTAAGAAAGATTGAGTGACACGAGGTTTTCGAGCTCGGCTAGTGGACTCAAGCTCCCTACGAATTTATTGTGGGACAGGTCGAGGACCGAGAGTTTAGTGAGAGCCGAGAGTTCGTCCGGGATTGCCCCGGTTAATCGGTTGCAGCTAAGGTTGAGTGTGATTTCGAGCGACTCAAGTTTCCCGAACTCCGGGGGGATAACACCAGAGAGCTCATTGTTGCTGAGATCAAGCATTTGAAGCCTTGAGCATAGACCGAGAGAGGAAGGTATCGATCCGGATAACATGTTCTTGCTGAGAATGAGATTGTTTAGAGAAACCAAGCGCCCGATACCTTCGGGTATAGGCCCGTTGAGACGATTACTTGAAACATCCAAGAATTGAAGCCGGGAGAGTGACGAAATGGAACTGGGGAGTGGACCTTCGAACTCATTCTTGCCCAGATCAACCATTTGCAGCTGCACACAGCTTCCAATCTCGTCGGGAACAGTCCCGGACAGCCGGTTCCCGGACAAATCAAGAAAAGACAGGCTCTTCAGTTCACCAACCCCTTTTGGGATCGAACCCGTGATTCGGTTGTTCGCGAGCCTTAACCTCACTAGAGAGCTACAGTTGCCCATTTCTTGAGGAATCGAGCCCGAAATATCGTTAGAGCTTAACATCAGCTTTGACAGGTTCTTCAGTAGGAAAAAACCCAGAGGTATGGTTCCAGTGAGCAAGTTCCCGGTCAGGTCGAGAGATTGGAGTTGGGTACACCTAGCCAAGCTTGAAGGTACATTCCCCTCAAACTGATTCTGCCAACCCAAAAACACTTGAAGGCTGGACAAATTCCCCAACTCCGGTGGAATCCGTCCCGACATCCGGTTCGTGTTGAGCTCTAGTTGAAGCAGACCTTTTACATTTGCCAGAACAGATGGGATTGAACCGGAAATGTTGTTATCAGTAAGCATTAGATCTTGGAGTCCAAGAAGGCGGCTGAAAGATAAAGGTATGGATCCAGATAGATGGTTCAAAGACAAATCAATCATGGTTAATTTTGTGCAATTCCCAATCTCTTCCGGAATACTCCCTGCCAAGTAGTTCTGCCATAGAAGCAACTCTTCTAGCTTGTTAAGATTCCCAATCTCCGGCGGGATTGAACCGGAGAGACTGTTTTGGTACAGATAAACCTTCACAAGCTCAGTGCAGTTACTCAAACCAGGCGGGATTTCGCCCGAAAGCAATGTGGAATAGATTGACAGTACTTGGAGCTTGTGGAGCTTACTCAGTGAAGCAGGCAGTGATCCCGAGATTCTTGTCTCGGCAAGACCCAGAACTGTCAAATTCAAGCAATTGGTAATTTCTTGAGGGATTTCTCCAAGAATGTCCCGGTTCCCGCCTGCCCGGAGAACTTCAAGATTTCTCAAGAGGCCCAATTCTTTTGGCAGGTTTCCGGCCAGGCGGTTATCGAAGAGGACAAGGCTTTTCAAGGAGGAACAGTTGCTCAGTTCGACTGGGATTTTTCCGGCGAGCTGATTCGAGTTCAAGATCAAATCTTGAAGCTTCTGGAGCCTCCCAATGGATGAAGGAATAGTGCCCACGAGACTATTCGAGCTCAAATCGACGAGAACGAGCTCCGAACAGTCCCCAATCCCGGCCGGAATAGTCCCGGTGATGTTCGCCGCAGAAATAACGAGCTTCCTCAGGTGGGCGAAAGACGAGAGCTTTTCCGGCAATGGGAGCTCAACCTCGACGGCTTCTATGTTAATCTCGGAGACAAATCCACGAGAGTTGCAGGTGATGAAATCCCACCTGCAGGGATTGGCGTCGAGTGGGTTCCAAGAAGAGAACGGGGGATGCGGCGGAGAAGCAGAGGAGTGAATCCACGAGTAGAGCGCCGCCGCCTCGTCGGTGGTTGTGCTGACGCATGCGGCGGAGAGGAGAGTGAAAACGAGGAAGAGAAGTGGCGGTGGAATAGAAAGATGGGAAGAAGCAATAGAAGAAGAAAGTCTCCTTCTTGGGATAGAGATCATCAAGATAGACATTTTTGCATCAATTTTCAAACCTTTTTCTCTATCTTCCCTACCATATTACCTTGGTTTTTATTTTTATGACAAATATACAACTTCCTCTCCCTCCTTCTAAAAACACTTCATATTTTAATATTTTTTTTGTCAAACAATGACATTTTTAATCATAAATTATAAGAAAAATATATTAAATTGTAATACTTCCTCCGTCCCAAATTATTTGCAACATTTTGAATGACGTGGAAAATATCGTCTCTTTTAAAATCATTATATTTTCAAATTGGTAGAGTAATAAAAAGTAAAAATTATATCATTCAAAAGTATATGAAAAGTTCTACGAAACAAGATGCGACAAGAATATTTTATTTTATCAAATGGTCAACCAAAACGAGTAAACAAACAAAAGTTATCGAGAGACCAGAATAGTAACCGTGACATTCTTTCTGGGACGGAGGGAGTACAAATTCAATATGATTGAGTTCATCTTGAGATTTTATTTTGATATACCAAATTTTTATTATATTTATTTATTTAGATTATGTTTAATTTGTGATAAAAAGTGTCATTATTAAACTAAAAAAAATCAAAACAAGAAGAATTTTTAGGACGGAAGGAAGTAAGAGATTGTAGCAAAAAATAACCAATCATAAAACAGAAAATAATAAAGATAAATTTTGAAAAAAAAAACGTAAATAGCCGACAAAAAACAAGGAATACCTAGAGATGGACGACACCGTAGGGCATCACTTCTCCCATATCTTCAAAGAATCTCACCTGCTATGCATGTCTTCCGGTGAAATTAGCACTCTAATGTGTTTGCTTAAGTGTGAAGAATGGATAGAAAAGAAAAAGAGAAGAAAAAATAAAAATGGAGATAAAATAAATGAAGTGAAATTTCAATTTCTGCTGGGTTTTTTTAGTTGGAAAGAACTGGAGTTGAAGGGATTGAGAAGAAGTAAATTTTTTTGTTTTGTTTTTTAGAAGTAATAAAAGAAACTTAATTAAAAAATATTTTTTTTGAGTACAACTTAATTAAAAATATGTTTAAAAGAAAAAAATAATATGCACACACACATCACGTTGGACATGATTTTTGGTTAGAAAGCATTATCGAAACGGGTACCGATGATTCTAGAACCAAGAGTAAAACTTCACTTGTGTGGTGGATAGAGTAACTGGGGCATGGGTACCAGGCCAAAACCAGAAGGGAGGGGTGTGACCGGTTAAGGTTCCTGAAAGTGGGTTAGGAGTTGCTATTTTTCTTAAAAATTAGAGTATAAGCAGTTGAGGCTTTTTTTTCCAAAAATTATTCTATTTTTTTTCTTTCAAGTACTTTTGTAACTTTTTCTCTTTTAAATACATACTCCCTCTATCCCCCAAAAAATTGCCACGGTTATTATTTCGATTTTTCGATAACTTTTATTTGTTTGCTGATTTTCAGCGATCATTTGATAAAATAAAATATTTTGTTACATTTTGATTTATAAAACTTTTGATATACTTTTTAACGGTGTAATTTGTATTTTATTTGGCTATTAATTTATAAAAAAAGTGATTTTAGAAGATATTATAGTCTGCACGTTGTTCGAAATATGGTAAACAATTTAAGACAGATGGAGTGGTAAATATACGTTTGGCTATCGAAAAGTAGGGTAAATTTTACCAGTGGTACCTAAACTTTAGCTGAAATTTCGAAGTGGTACTTAAAATTCAAATCCTTTCACAAAAATCCATGAACTTACACAATCCTTTTATTAAAAGTCAATTTGCCCATTTCCGAGTTAACCTCCGGTCATTTGGTCCAAATTAGAATTCAATATATTTTAAAATTTTCAATTTGACCCCATTTCTTTTTTTCTTTTCTTCCGCTCCCCGCCGTCGTCGCACCACGTGAAAGTCGCCGGAAAATCAACCTGGTCAGATTCTGGCGGGACCAACGCCGTTCTCTTCGTCTTGAGATGAGGATCAAGAATATCCAAATCATTTTGTCCAATTTGGCCTGGAACTCCCCGAATTTGAATTTTTCTACTCGAAAAGACCCTAAAATCAGAAATGGGGGGTTTTGCAAATCGCCATCAAATCTTGAAATTGAGGGATCCTTGGGGGTCCCCGAGATGCCACGAACACTTTGGAGGGGATGAGCGACGTCAATTTTGCCGGAGGTGGCCGGAAAATGTTCCAACCCGCCAGAAAGAGGGGCCCACCTCTGAAAAAATTGACGTCGCTCATCCCCTTCAAAGTGTTCGTGGCATCTCGGCGACCCCTAAGGACCCCTCAATTGCAAGGTTTGATGGAGATTTGCAAAAACTCCCAATTTTGGATTTTAGGGTTTTTCGAGTGGAAAAATTCAAATTCGAGGAGTTCCAGACCAAATTGGACAAAATGATTTGGATATTCTTGATCCTCATCTCAAGACGAAGAGAACGGCGTTGGTCCCGCAAGAATCTGACCAGGTTGATTTTCTGGCGACTTTGACGTAGTGCGGCGGCGGCGGGGAGTGGAAGAAAAGAAAAAAAGAAATGGGGTCAAATTAAAAATTTTAAAATATATAAAATTATAATTTAGCCCAAATGATCGGATGTTAACCTAGAAACGGACAAATGGACTTTTAGTGAAAGAATTGTGTAAGTTCAGAGATTTTCGTGAAAGGATTTGAAGTTTAGGTAATACTTCGAAATTTCACCTAAAGTTCAGGTACTACTCGTGAAATTTACCCTCGAAAAGTGTGATGTTGAAGGCGGCAAATCGTAAGAGAGAGAAAGAAACATGTGGCGGACGCAACTACGGAGGAATTTGAGGTTGGGTGCGGAAAAAAGAGAAGGAGTGAAAAAGTGTACTTCAATCCCATTTTATTCCGTAAGTGTATGGAATTGTTTTCGGTGTAAGTTTCTTAAATGATCCCTAATTATATACGGAGTAAGATTTTTCATATTTAGTCTCTTATTCTAAGATATTGCGGAATATATAATTGATTCTCAATTTTTAAAAACTCTTCCATAAATAGTCATTTATGTCAAATATAAAAAATATTTTTTTTTACAAATAGTCCTTAAAGAATCGGTCATCGAATGGTTTTCAAAAATTGAGGTCATTTATCAAAGATTTTATACTTGAGAAAATAAATATAGAAAATTGCATGCAATTAGAGACCATTCATGGAATTTAACCCTTTTTATAACTTGTTTCTATTTCCTCTTTCGTTTCCTTTATAGTTTTCATCCAATCAAACAATAAATTTTAGTTCAGAAACTTGTCATTTGTGGATTTTAAATTAAAATATCTTTTATCTTTTGAGCGCATCTTATTTTTAGAAAAATGTTAAAAATGTAAGTTTACACATTTTGTAAAATGTTTGTTTGTGCTTCTAACATTAATCCTAATTTTTTTGTCTATTTCGTTGCCATTTCTCTTTACCACCTTGAGTGCCCCTGCTACCAAAAGCACTTTTTTATGTGTTTAACCCATGTAAGGAGCATAAAATATTTCTATATGGAGTTTTTTTTAAATGAATGGTTACTATTTCCGCCGGTATTTATCGACTTTCATTTTTTGTCAATCATTTTTTATCTTTGAATTATAGTTAATTACTCCGTAAAATTTATATGGTATATTTATTTGGTAAACAAATATTAAACAAATATTTTGAAAATAATATATAAAACAAATCTAATAAAATTATTTTTATATAAATATTGAATATCAATTTTATTTAGTAAGTGGTCAAAGTTCGTCAAGTTTTACTGAAAAAGTCAAAACTGAATAAAATACTCACGAAAGGAGGTTGCATAATTTTATTGCAATAGATATTTTATTATATTTGATTCTAAGTCTCAAACCAAAAAATTATATTGTGGCATTTTTTTTACCAAACACTAAAAAAGGACTTTAATATCTGAAGATATCAAATTAATATCTATTTTGCTCGCCAAACACTCAAACACACTCTAATAACTCTAAGAGCATCTCCAACCACAATTGCTAAACATGGCTTGCTAAAATCATTTTTTAGCATGTGAATAGTAGTATAGCAAGCCATTTTGCATTGTCATCTCCAACCTTTCCTTGCTATAATTTAGCTANTAGGGAAAATAATAAAATATACGGAGTATTATTTTAAATATTTAATAAATACCAATTAAAGAGTAGAGAAAAAAATTTACAAAAACAAAAAATTAGAGAGTAGAAGTAACTTTATATTTTGAGAAGGAGAATGAGAGAAAAGAAGAGAGAAATCATATATTTAATCAATTTCATGATTTGCTATTTTTTGAGAGGCTTGTTATATATAACAAGCCAAAGTTAACATTTACCAAGTATGTTATACTATAGCAAGCCCCTTGGAGCACAAAAATTGAAATGGATTGCCAAATAATAACATTTAACAAGCCAAAACTCAATGGTTGGAGATGCTCTAATAATTGAAATAAAATGCTACTCCTTATTTTTTAAACATCTTTTTAAGTTTTAGGCTCCGTTTGGTACATGAAATTCAAACTATGGAATTGGAGACTTAAATTTCAATTCTAGTGTTTGATAGCACAAAAATTATGTAGATTTGGAATTGATAGTGTAAAAAATGAATTAAAATAAGCAGAAATCAATTCTATGAAATTGAATCTCATGGAATTACAATTCCAATTCAATTCCAATTTCACCAATTCTTTATACCAAACAGAGCCTTATTGAAATTTTCTCTCTTTTCTTTGATGTTTCTCCGTACACCCCTCTCACCCCCTTTTCCCATCCCACACCTAAGGTGACCACAATGTGACCCTCTAGGGGTGATCATGGTCATGGCTTCCCCTAAACCTTTTTTTTAAAAATTTATTCTTTTAAATCTCAATCAAATAAATTTTTATATGCTTTTACCAGCAAATCAAAATAATTTATATTTTCATCCTATATCACACTCACCAGTCACCATATCAAACATATTTATTCACTCCACATCATATACTTTACATTTCATCACCCCATCAAACACTAATTTTCCATTATCATACGACATAGGTTGTGTTCCCTTCGCCATCTAATTTTTTGAAAATATGGTCTATCAATTTTAGTTCCGCTACTCATCCTTGGATACAGACACTGCACATCCATAGTGTTTTTTGTTTGTTATTTGATTTCGAGCACTTTTTTTATTAAAAGAATCTTTGAAATCGATGAGGATGCATGTGAGAATGATAGTTGTGTTGAGGGTATAATTTTGAAAACTGAACCACACCGGCTGGTTCGGACCGGGAACTAGTGAGCCAAAAGTCAAACTAATCAATTCCAATCCCTAGGATTGTATTGAGCTCTGAACCAGTTTAAATTGACCGCTTCAAGTGATCTAACCAATTTTTTTGGTTGCGAATTGGCAAAGATGTTACACTACTAGAATTCGAACTATAAACCTCTTACACATTATATCATGAGTGCACCAACTAAGCAACAATATTTTTGTTACATATTTCATCTAAGTAGTATATATCCCTAATTAAAAGCATAAATATGTATTAAAATATTTTTATTGTTAAAACTTTGATAATGTTTTTTTGAATAGTAATAACTCTATTAGAATGTAGTACGGTTCATACATTCTCATCATATTAAAGATCCTAGAGTTATTGTCGACATCAACGATCGATCACGTGGCCTCTCATTTGAAAGAGTCATAGCAATGTCATTGGACTACAAGGTCCGTAGCCACTGAAAACCAATGGCCAAAGAACCCAGCCGCCTTGACAAAAATTGATGGATGATTATAACTATGAATCAAAGTTTTTTTTAATACAATTATACTAATACGATGTACGTTTCGCAAAAAATATTCATTTGAATTTTTTTGGAATATATTTGACAAAATATGTAAACTAATGAACACATTTCTCAATTATAGAACTTATAATTTAATGATAAGAGTCATGTTTGGGGTACACCATTGGTGTAACGCACTTGTATGTCATTGATCATAACCACTAATTTTTTTAATTAATTTTTTTCCACAATTGAATAGTGTGATGGAGATAATAGAGTGGTGTAGATTTGGGGTACACGTTTCGAAGTATTCCTAGCATTTTTCTAATTTTAAATATGCAACTTTTATTTTTAAATCTAATTCTACTAATCAAATAAATTAAATTGATTATAACTTTAATCCAACATCATAAATTTTTATATAAATACGAAAGGAGTATTATTTTTATTATAGTACAAAGTAATAGACACACACACACCCACCCACACACACACACATATAGACACATACATACTCCCTTCGTCCAAAAAATAATCTAGCAGTTACTATTTAGTCTCTCGATAACTTTTTTATGTTTACTTGTTTTGGTTGACTGTTTTTTATTTGATGCAACAATATTAACCCAGTTGAATCCTACTACAATATGGTTTTTATTTTATAAAATAAAATATTTTTATTGCATCTTATTTTGTGAATATTTAATGTATTTTTGGATAATATAATTTTTAATTTTATTTACCTACCAATTTATAAATAAAATAATTTTAAAAATGATGATATTTTGTACATTGCTCAAAATGTTGTAAACAATTTTAAACAAAGAGAGTATGATTTTTAAACAAGTTTAAATGGCTGATTGGATTACTTAAACCATCTATTCGATTAGTGAACTAACACCAGACCAGTGGGGTCACTTGGGTCAGTGTGAGGGTAAGAACAATCACCTGAATGGCGCCTCTCCGCGTTGAAGGGAGTGTGAGTAATAAGGCGCAGGTATAGACTTCCGTCCTTTGCGAAATACCCAGTTTAGTGCGCGAACTCCAGTATCATCATGGCGGCGGCGCTTCTTCGACCCATGACCTTTGTCACCGGAAACGCGAAGAAGCTGGAGGAAGTACGGGCCATCCTCGGCGCCTCCATCCCTTTTCAATCTCTCAAACTCGATCGTATGCCCTCAAGATATCCTCATTTTTTCTAATAGTCCTACTTACATGTCTGTGTTATGTATATATGCAATCACATACGCCTTCATGAATTCTAAGTCTGTAACCATTAATTTTATTGAACAATAGTTCCAGAGCTACAAGGAGAACCAGAAGAGATCTCCAAGGAGAAAGCTAGAATTGCCGCTAAAGAGGTACAATGTTTGGTGCACTATTTAAAAACCCTAATGCAGCAATTCGAATTTCATTTTATTTTGCACGAGTATATATTCTGTATTTGGTTTCTTATTGCTAGGATGAAGCAGAAAAAGAATTCCTAACATTGTGCTTGAGAGTATTTGGTTAATTATTTTAAATTTACTCTGTCTATTTCACCCCAAAGTTGCAAATTGGTGAATTTTTAGCCAATTCTTTTAAATTCAACAGCTTTACACCGATTTGGGGTCTTTGCTGCAGCAGTTTTTTCCTTCCGTTTTCTATCCGGCTTCTTTCGATTTTATGGGAAGCGGGGTGCTTTTTGGTTTCCCCTTTTATGTTTTTTATGAGGTATGTGTGGGGAGCAGTGGGTTTTTATCTTATCCTTTCTCTCATATGCATGGATGGGCTGATTTTATTTATTACATGACACATGATATGTGCCTGGGAGTGGGTTTGATTCATGAATTATTATTATTATTATTATTATTATTATTAATATTATTATTATTATTATGAATGGTCTATTTTCCCACTTGAGAGATATGGATCGGACGGCGGCACTAGAGAAGGTGAGTGTTGTTTGTTGAGGATAAGATGTGTGAAACACACATGCTCGTGTGAGGAGCTGTGAGAAGTTGTCCGTAAGGGAATTGAGGGGATGTAGAGGTTGGTTGGAAAAGAGTGAGAGCGAGGTGATTAGGCAATCTCGCGGAGGGTATGTCCATATGTAGGAACTTTTGGAGGTCGAGGACTAGAGTTGTTGGGTAGACTTTATTAGAAATGGTTAGCTGTGTGTTTAGGCTGATCTCAGAGTTAGTTAGGCCTTGTGGGCCTACTTGCTTTGTGGCCATTATGTTTCTGTTGTTTGTTGGTAATGCTGCTTTTTCTTCCCTCTCTTGTTTATGTCTTTCTCTACTTTTATTTTTTGATGGCTTGATGCTCTTTTCTTTGAATCGAGGGGCCTTCTGAAAAAATGCTCCCTGCCTTTAACGTAGGGGTAAGGTTGGGGTACATTCACCCCCAAATCCCACCCGTTGGATTTTACTGAGTTGGTTGCTATTGAAGATCCGTTTCCCATTAGTTTTTAGAACTATTATTATGAATTACTCTTTATCTATTTTAACTCAATTTTTATTATTTTATTTATTAATTTGAGGTTTATTCTATGTGTGCAAGAGGCCAACCACCATAGTATCTGATTATCCTTCATTCCTTTCAAAACCTATCTTAAAGGCACTTAATTTTAGATATTTGCAAATAGCGCAAAAGGAAAGGAACTATTTTGAGAAATTTAAGTGATCATATGTGTAGGTATTAATTGATTTGCTTTGTGTTGAATTTTAAAGGTTAATGGACCTGTGCTAGTGGAGGATACTTGTCTCTGCTTCAATGCACTGAAGGGACTTCCAGGTGCTTATACCTAATAAACATTTCCACTTGCTTGTTTAATAGTTTAGAGTTTATACCCACACTCACTTATGCCTCTCAAAATGTATGATACTATGATGATGATGAGGGATATTTACATTATTTAGTGTCTTTTTGTAGGGCCTTACATGTAAGTTTATATCTGGAACCTGCTCTTGAGGTGAAGTGTTACTTTTGTTATTCTTTCAAATGGACTTTTGAGTTTGTCAATGTTTTATGGGCCCAAAATGTGTTTCCAATCTGGCTGTTTCTGTTTTCATATACTTATTGCTAGCATTCCTTACTACTTTTTAAACATATTATACTAATTGCTCTCTCTCTCTCTCTCTCTCTCTCTTGTGATTCTCAATTAAATGATGAAAGATAAATTTTAAAGTACTCATTTGTCTCGATCTTGTAAGATCTACTTTCCTTCTTAGTCTCCCAAAATAATGTTCACTATCCTAATTTGCACACAGTTGATATTTTCTTATTTCCTTGACATAGTTTTCCATGGGTCTATTTCAAAGTTACTTTTTACTTGGTAACCCTCTTTTTCTATTCTTCTCCCCGAAATGCAAACTTTTAAACTATATTGACTGCATTGCTCCATTAAGTTGGCCTGTATAAGGAAAATGTCTTTGGCAGGGGTGAATTAATTTGAGACACTTTAGAGAAGTCAGCTTCTATGATAGTAGCAGTCTAGAGAAGGATATGTTCATCTGCTAAGATTACTGTTTTTGTCATTTCTTCAATTTGATCTCCTGTCGTCTTGGAGTGTTTTCGTGAGTCTAGCTATTTTGTTCATGATTCATTTAATGTTGTTTTGTCTAATTGGGCCTAGATTCCTTTTACTTTTGGTTTGTCTTACTGCTGCTTGATTGTAAACTACATTTTCCAGCAAGTGGTTTTTGCAAAAGATTGGACATCAAGGTAATGTGCTACAACCTTTCATATACAACACCTATGTAGTGCGTCTAGTTTCATCCATATCATTTTTAGTTTTCTACTTGACAATTTCTAGGTCTCAACAATTTGATTATGGCGTACGAAGATAAATCAGCATATGCTATGTGTATATTTTCTCTTGCTCTTGGACCAAATGTGGAACCAATTACATTTGTTGGCAAAACTTTAGTAAGTGTCTTTCCTCTTGCAACTAAATACATCCATTTCAATTAAGTGCACGTCTTTTTTGAGTAGATAAATGCAGTAGCAGAAAAAATGCATGAAAAAGCACAACCTGTTTATCTATTTCTGGCACAAACTTTATAATTTGTCAAGTAAATATACAACCTTTATTTTTTTTTTTTGTAAATTTAAGGCATGCAGTTTGTGCTTCTTTTTCCTTCTCCAAATCCACTCTATTAGAAAATGGATTATAAAAGTGCGGTGAAGAAATTCAATTGAGGAAAGTAAATCAACCATTTCTACCTCAATTTTTTTTAAAATATACTCTGTATTTCTACTTCATTAAATTAAAACAAGATAAAAAGTTGAGAGCACATTTGTATTGTTGGAGAGAAAAAATGGTATGGAAATAAACGGGATGCCTAAAATTGGCAAATAAATAAAGTGTGTGCATTTAATTGAAAAAAAACAAAGCTCGTGCAAGAAATAGAAAATTGAGTAGAGATCATGTTTTTTCATGCAATTTTCCCTGCAGTAGCAAAGCAAAATATTATTTTTAAACTTGTTGAAACATTAGATCGATCATTAAGGGTTTGTTTTGTTGGGGGGATTTTGGAGGGGATAGAAGGGAAGGATTGATTTTTGTTTTTCCAATATACTCCGTACATCGATTTGTTAGTCTATAACTAGAAAATAACAGAATGATTAGTTAAACCATACTTCCTCCGCCCCGTTAGGATTTACCACGTGCCATTGGCACAAAGATTAAGAGATTGGAAGAAATGTGGTTGTGGTTTTTTAAAAGAAAAAATATGGACTACAAATCTTTTTCCTTAAAAAGGAAAGTGGAAAATTTGTGGGATCGACAAAAAAAGAAAGATAAAAAATCCCATGGGAACTAATAATATATACTCCCTCCATCCAACATTTATTTTCCTGGCTTGACCGCGCACGCACTTTAGTATAAGATGAAAATGTCATTGACTTTCCTAAAATGCCCTTTTGCTCTTTCTTCTATCACCAACGCCCCATGGCTTGTTTTTGTCCTCCGCCAGCAACTCGGATTTAATGCTCACAGATTACATTGATAACAATGCATTAATGCTAAAACAAAAAGAACGAGTGAATTCAAAGACTAGTAAAAAAACTTACGGAGTATCTCAAGAGAAACCTTAGTTCAAAATCTAAAATGAAAAAAATTTATGATCCCAAATCCAAAATTGAAAATACAAGAACCAAAATCCGTTTGCAACATTAGAGAAATCTCCAAAATATAAGATCCCAATGTCCAAAATCTTAAATCCACGGTCCAAAAACCCAAAATCAGAAATCCAAGATCTAAAATTTCGTTGATGACACCAAGCTTTAAGCGGACCTTAACAGTGGTGGGAGTGGAATCCGTCTAGATTTAGACTATAAGGTCGACTTTGTTCAGATCCGACGAAGTTGAGGCGGAAATCGCTTGTTGTGAGCAAGGCTAAGCGAAGAAGCCGAGAAGATGGTTGAGAGAGAAAAGGTGGAGGTGGAAGAACATGGTTGTGTATAGAGAATGGTGATGGATGAAGGAAATGGAAGAAAAGTAGATGGCATAGAGGGAGGTGAGGGAGATTTTAAGGAGGGTAAAAGAGACATTTTAGTATGATGTTTTTGCCAAATAAGGAACCGAGAAGATAATTTATGGACGGACGAAAAAGGAAAGTGGGAAGATAATTTATGGACGGAGGGAGTATGTCTATACTAGACCTGGTAAAACTGACCCGAATCCGGTAATCCGAACCGAATAACCCGGAACCGAATCCGATTTGACCCAAAAACTGAAGACCCAAAATAGAACCGAACACCCAAAATGATCTGAACCGAACCCGAACCAAATGTACCCAGACCCGATTCATATCCGAATCCGATTTAACCCGAACCGATAAAACCCGAACCCGGTTAAACTCGGAACCGATTAGACCCGAACATGATTAAATTTTATGTACGTCCGTGTTAAATAATAAAATAACTACGGAGTATATCATAAATTGATTAAATTTATTATGTGATATTATTGATTTATTAGTAAATATTTACAATATATCTGAACTAATATAAACCTAAATCGATACAAACCCGGATCAATATAAACTCGAACCGATAGTGATACAAACCCGAACCGATACAAACCCGAACTGATATAAACCCGATTCGATACAAACCCGAACCAAAAACAGTCAAACCGAAATAAACCCGAATCCAAATTGACCCGAACCGATTATAACATATATCCGAATGAGACCCGAACCGAAAAAACCCGAACTGGAACCGAACCGATTGACCCGATTGCCAGGTCTAGTCTATACGCCCTCCATCCCAAAATAAGGTTCCCATTTGACTTTTCTTGGTCAAAGCTTGTAATCTTTAACCATAATACTCCTTATGTAGAAATATTACATTGAGTTATTATGCAAACTTAATATCCTAAGAATTATTTTAACATCTAGTTTTGACATATCCTATTTTTATGATATTTATTTATGCATAAATACACTCCATAGATATTAATGGTCAAGGTGTTGTATTATAAACCCTCAAAAGTCAAGTAGAAACTGTATTTTGGGATGGGGAGAGTATAATTTTTTGTCTTCATTTTTTCCTAACAATATTATTGTAAACAACAGCAAACCAATACAATTCCAACTCCATTGAGGTTTAGGAGGCCAAGATGTATGCATTGATGCATGTATTTACTTCTGTGTAAACAATCTAATTGTAAGAATAAATTGTACTCCCTCCATACCACTGAGATTTTTTCATGTTCGACTTTTCTGGTGAAACATATTAAACTTGACATATTATAGCAAAAGTTTTAAATTTTGTACTTTTATTGAAGCCTTTCTAACAAAGAGTATTTTAGTATTATTGATGGACTTTAATCCATTAGAATAATAGTAATAATAATAAAAGGATTCGATTGGCAACAGTATGCTCAGTATACTTGGTTGGTTGTCCCCTCTCCAGCCATGGAGAAGAAGTATTTATAGAAGTTAAAGGAATCATTGAATCTACCACCATTCATAACCTCCTTCACATGCCTTCCCAATTGAGCTCCATGAATGGCGGTCATGGGAGATCATGGGGGGATGGTTTAGATCACAGAAGTTGCTCCTCTAACTCCTTAATTCATACCTCAGCTACGTGAACTTCCGTTATTTGGGCCCGGGTACATAAATAATTACACAATGGATTGAGTATGTTGGGCCTATTCTCTATACATTTTGGGTCAGTCCCAATAAAGTCACCAATTACTCCGAAATTTTCTATCGACCTAAAGGAGTGTCAAGCTCTCTCTATATATTTTAGAGAAATCTCCAAAAGATAAGATCCCAATGTCCAAAAATGAGAACATGCTCTCTAAATTCAACCGCTTTTGGCCCAGTTTCAACTTGTTGGCAGGCCTAGTGTCTTGATTCTAAAAGTTTACTTTCCATTTTAAGCTGAAGCATGTAAGTTCAAATGATCTAGGCTTGTTACAAATGTCATTAGTTCTAAATTCTCTCAGAGTTTAAGATATATACTTAGTACTAAGTAAATTGCTCATCAAAATTAATATCTTTTGCAATAATACACCCATACATGATATTTTCTTTCAGTAAATTACAATCAACTTTAATGTGTTTAATCCTTTATAGTGCTACTTGTTTGTCGCATATCAATGTTACTTGTGTGGCATTGGGATAATGCAATTCTGGAAGTAACCGTCTTAGCCATATGAGCTCACACGTGGCAAAAGCCGTGAATATATGTTCTTGATCTGCACTAGATTTTGCAGCATCTTGCTTCTTATTCTTCCATAAGAAAATAATCTGTAATCTGTTATAGAAACACAATGTATGAAGGTTGAATGCCTATCAATAGTAGCATAGTTTTCAGAACTAAATGGTTCCCATGGTTACATACTAACATGTATCCAAAACGAGAACCCTATGGTGCTGCAAGAGAGGTGAACAGTGGCATGTCAGCAGCCTGATAAAGTCCTTTTTGCTAATGGTCTCATCTCAAACACCAGACCAGTTTTTTTATATATCACTGTATTTACTATGAAAATCAAATTTTTATAAATAAAATTTGAACAGTGTCAAACTTGGAAGTATGTTTTACGGAGTGGAATATAATGAAGACATCACCACCACCACCAACAACAACACAGATAGTCAGAAGAGCAGTTTATGGTTTGTGTTTTTTTAAAAAAATTGAATATGGAAGCACCATAGCAGAAAACAAAAACATCACCAAATGAGACTTTGAATTTTGAAAAGGAAGAGGGCTAGCATTTTTTTTGTAGCATTGTAAGTTTCGTCATTTCAGCATTGGAGAAATTTGTGGGCATATAAGTTTGTGGTGAAGTATTTTACTACACTCATATAACATTGCTCTATTTCATTGACTTTAGAAGTAGAACCTTCAAGTCTTGTTGGCATGACCTTCAGAATGAATTAATGGAATTAGCACCCTGCCAAGAAAGGGTGCTATTAACTAGGCATATTTTGTGATGCTTCACTGTAGCTCCCATTTAAACATTTTTCTTGACTTTTTTCTTTATCGGCTTTCTCATTTTAAGGGGATTAGGAATTCTTCAAAATAGGTGCTCTAATGTTTATTTTATGGCTCAAAACTTCAGGGAAAGATTGTTCCAGCGAGGGGACCGAATGATTTTGGATGGGATCCTATCTTTCAGCCGGATGGCTATGAGCAGACGTAAACCGAAACTCTTGTCAAATGCAACCATGGTTTTGTTAACAATGAAAAAGTCCAACCAGTGCAAGTATTTTTTTGCAGTTATGCTGAGATGCCAAAGGAAGAAAAGAACAAGATTTCTCATCGTTCAAAGGCTCTTGCACTAGTGAAGTCGCACTTTGCTGAAACCCGATATGCCTTCCCGAATGAGACGGCTAACCTGACTTGATTTTCGCCCAAACTTCCTGTAAGTTCAACTTCTTCTTACATGTTTCTTTTTCTTCTAAAGGAAAATGCAACCCCAATTTCTGAATTTTTTTTATTTGTGTGCCCGGAGAAATATTTTAGCGAGACGGATGGAGTATAATTTATGAAAAAGTTAGGCCAAACTTGATGACTTTTGACTCTTAAAAAAACTAAAGGTGTAGTTCTCTGAGAAACAGATCTATCCCTGCCTTCCTTTATATTTGTTGCATTTGGTTGAATTCATTAGTTTGCATATGTCATCAACGAAATTCTACCCCCTCCCAATTCACACTTACTTGAGCTGGGGATCTCTATGTTAACCATTGTTTTAAAATCCGGACCGGCCGGTTCGGACTGTGAACTGGAAAACCGGTGGTCCTAGCGGTCCGGTCCAATCCTTTGGACCACAATAATCTTCTCGAAGCGGTTAGAACCGGCTGGTCGAACGGGCCAGACCATTTTTATTTTTGTGATATTTTTCCCAAAAACTTATACCATGGGGGGTTCGAACCCAAAGTTTCTTAGATATTTAGTTAAGTTCCTAACCATCCAAGCTAGGATGTTTTTAATTACATGTTTGCTTAATTTTTCTAAATATTCCATATGTAACAAATAAAGATTGTATAAAGATTTATTTTCATTTTAAAAACTTTAAAAAAATATAATATTATAGCTATGATTCAAACTCAAAATCATTGATAATAATACTATTACAAAATGTATTACAAAATGCATATCATGCAAAAATTTCATTTGAGTAATTTTTTAATATTAGACAACTTATTTGAAAAAAATAAAATCAACTATGATAAACTATGATGTAGACCGTAACATTATGGGCATGCCAAATGCGTCAGATATTGCTCAGCCTAAATACCCAAGTCCATAATCTTCCAGTCTCAAAAATAGATTTTACATAAGGGTATAAGCATATGTTAATCAGATGAGATGCGTCAATAAGTGATCCATATCGAATACTGATACAGATCTTGATGGTTGCTAAAAATTAAAATTGTCCATGTTTTCTAGTGATGCTAGCTGGATATCGGATATATTCGAATAGGTTTCTAAATTTTCAAAGTCAAATTGCACTATACGCGCCGTAGTATATAAATACTTTTAATATTATCATTCAATTGTAATTTGTTAGGGAGTAGTACTTTTTTATGTGTAATCTATGCTATTCGATGAAAACTCTAAATGGTAAAAAGTAGGGTGTTGTTATTATTGACACTCAAATTTTGGTCATATAAGCTTCTTTTATATTAAATGAACAATTTTATCCCATATTGCATCAAAATTCTCTATTTTGTACTTTTGAAATTAAAATTGTAAATTTAACATTAATGTAGTGTTATAGCAAAAATTAGGCATGGATATGATGACACCTTAAAAAGTTATTTTGTACATCGTACACACACACACACGTATTTGTGCCTACGCTTTGCTTGGCACTGTTACCTAACGTATACACTTGCCCCCCAGCCCCATCGTCTTTTGCCATCTCGCACCGAAAACCCCACATCCAACCCCCCTGTCGCGCTGCACATTTACTTATATGTTGCTAAAATATTTTAGTCTCAAAACATGGCCAAATAGCACTAGTACCACCTAGGATTTAGAAAGTAATTATTACCCCTTGTCATCATTAGAAAATAAGCACCAATACCTTTCATGTACCCCTTGTCATCATTTCCGGCAAAGGGTTTTTGGTGTCATTTTTCCAAAGTATATGGGGGTGCTGGTGCTTATTTCTCATTTTTCGTTTTTCCTTTTTTTTCTTTTTCGTTTCTTTTATTAATCAAGAGTTTTTTGAATTTCTTTTTAATTTTTTTGTTTGAAAAATATCAATTAACATATACTGCATCTATATGTCTCAAATTAACAATTTTTATTTTTTGTTTCCCAAAATAATAAAGTAAAAACTTTTTTTGTGAACTTAAAAATATAAGGAATAAAATAAAACAAAAATATAATGAATTTTTTTTGGACATCACAATTCTAAGGACCTTTTTAGGCTTTTTGGGAATTCTTTTTTGTATAAGATTATTTTTTTTGCATGTTTCAATTTTTTCAATTTGTTTTTACATATTTTTATTTTTATTTTTTTATTCTGGATAGTTTATGAACTTACCAAAAAAATTTATAGAAAACAAAAAGTAAAAATATTTAATTTTAGATAGACAGAGTACATATTAATTTTTTTTATTTTTATTTTATTTCAAAACATAAAGAATTTTTAATTTTAAAAAAATTGAAAAAAAATTTAAAACACTTTTCTAGGAAAAAAGAAAAAAGGAGATAAAATAGAGTTTAGAAAAGAAAAAAATCTTACTATAATAAATGAAAAATAAGAAGTTAGCACGAGTATTCCCTATGGTCTAGAAATTAGGCACTTCCTTCTTGGCCGGAAAATGATCATAGGAAGTGTGAGACTGTGGGTGCAACGTTTTGAAACCAAGAAACTCTAGAAATAAGTTTTAAAAATAGAAGAGTATTGATGCAAACTTTCAACACCACATAGGGCACTGGGCTTATTATTTGGCCCTCAAAACACATTAAAAAAATAGTAACGGTCGATCAAAGACCATTTTTTTGTGAGATTATTGTCTGTGAAATAAGTGGCCGCAAAGCGATGGGCCCCCTAAATTACATTGCTCTGGTAGGACTGACTTGGTCCGGTACTTGTACGTGATATGTTGGATTGTTGGGCTCTGTCAACTATAGTGGGCTGGCTCCAATTAACTCACCAACTATCGATCTGTTTTCAAATAGTGAACTAGTGGATTAACGGGATGCGCCAGCCCAACTATTATTGAGACCCTTACAGCTCAGCCCGCCCCAAGTTCTAAAGGTCCTAAAACAGCATTACATGAAATTGCACTAATGGGCCAACATAAAAAAGCAAATTTTGTAAATATTTTGGGACGGAAAAAGTATTTTGGTACAAGGGATTGGAAAGACAAAGTAACAAAAATTATATGCGAATAAGGGAGGTGCCTCTAAGGTCTGAACTGAGTTAAATTACAGAAGTAGAACTCTTTTTTTTTTTTGTTTTTGTTTTTGAATTACAGAAGTAGAACTCATTTTTTTGTCCAGAATTTATAATAAGTTCGAGAAAATTCGGAGACTCATTCATGAGTCCAAAACAAAAGTTCAAACACTAATTACTCAGTAGTCCGTAATTAATACTCGGTACTTTCTCTTTAATTTATACAGCAGATTTTAATATAAAATTTAGAAATAAAAATCATGTATTAAAAGCTAAAAAGTTACACACAAAATGTTATGGAGTACACCCTTCATTCCTAAATACTCTCTATGTGCGCGCGTGTATTTGTCTAATTTAATTGTTTCGAGTGAAATAAGATTAATTTTAAATATTAATTAAACAAAAATTGTAATGTATATTAGGATAAAATGATTTTATTATATTTATCTTATAGAGAACTTGCAGAATTTTATTTCATTATACTAATATGCAATATAAATTAAGAGTAACAATAAGTTCAAAATTTATCCAATTTGACTCAAAAAAGTCAAACTAGACAAATACACTAGGACGGATTTAGTAACTATCTCTTAAGACTTTTTCGATATATATAACAAATAAAATATATGTAGACATGATGATGGTTCACATTCATTCAAAATTTAATAAGAGCATTTAAAAAGTCATAATTGACAGTTATTTGGAAAATAGAGACATTTCTAGAGTCACGCCAGAGTATCACCGGAGCCTTGCCGGGGCGTCATTGTCAGTCGCCGGAGTTGACCACACCATTGGTGGCGTCCACCACTCCACCACTACACTGCCATTATCAGAATGCCGGCATTCACACTGTTATATTGACATTGTTTTGCCAATGTACACCACTCCACCACCACTAGTACTCGTATAATTCTATTTTCCTATTTTTGATGACATTTACTCCTAAAGAGATGTTTTTTTTATAATAAAAATTAAACGTAATAATTTATTATTTTTTTTTGGGTACATACGGACAAGTTTTAAATATCATTTCTGATTTATTAATGAAGGAAATTAATTAGTGAATTTAGAAGTCAAAATTAGATAGTGGGAATGTGGGGTGGCTTATTGACGCCACCCTCTCCGTTAAATGAGGAGGGAAATGCGCATTAATTCTAAATTGGATCCTTCATTTCAACGTTGAATATGAATTGTACACAGCCACATTAAACCCCCATTTAATTTTAAAGGTACACCATCCTCATCTCATATGGTACCATCATGACAACAAATCACCTGATCGGAAATTGGAATAAATTTTTATCTGATCTGATTTAATCTGAATGCAGATATATCTAAAGTTGTTTTTGATTTAATTTGATTTGAATTGACTTTAATAAGAATAACTAACAAGAAGAAGTTAAAGAGAACATGTTCATGCAGTGTTTTACTTGATTATTTGTTTTACAACGGACACTTCATTCATTCGATCTCACTAAGAATTTTATGATACATCATACTCTAAGTCATGCAAAAGCACAATGCCCCTCCATAAAGAGAAATACTACTACTTCATTCGTCTCTGACTATTTGTCCACTTTTGATTTTTTTCGATCAAAATTGATAAACTTTGACCTCAAATAAAATAAAAATGATATTAGATATTGATACAAAAAGAGTTTTATTATGTTTATTATATTAAATATTTTCAAAATATTAGTTTATTTAATTAAAATATAATATATATTTCGTTTAATTATTTATCAAAGGTTGAAAACAATTGACTGAAAAAAGTCAAAACTTGACAAATACTCAGGAACGGAGGTAGTATCATATATAGAAAATGAATATCTACCTATCAGTTTAAGCTTTTGGATTAGAAAGTAGATTTCGATTTTATATGCAAGTGATTAATGGTACCAGACACGTTGTTTAATTCAAAAACTTATATACCGATTATATTTTTTCTTCAATTTTTGATATGAGATACTTTAATAATTATCGCTAACATTAATAACATAGATTTATTTCTTAAAAGTTAACATTTTTAAAAAGCAAAGAACTGAGTACTCGTTATAAATTACAAGTCCAAAAATGTCAAAAGGGTTTTATTTGTATCCTTAAAATCTACACCCACTAATGATTTTAAAAACTACTCCTACATTAAATGAAAATTTATTTTGAATAACTAGAACTCGCATTGTTCTCATCAAACATGAAAAGTTAATTTTAGAAGAGTTTTTTTTGTTATTTTCAATTTAGCATATTTGAAAATTGGTTGAGTTTTTTTATAAAAAAAATAAAAATTTAAGGACCTAGAATTACAAACTTGAGTTTTCGGTTGAAATACTTCGACATTTTTATCAAATGATCGATAAAAATATATAAAGAAAGAATGTATATTTTACTCTGTAAATAATAAAGAAGACTCTAATATTAGAACAAAGAGATTCGTATGAACAAAGAATGGTCTTAAAATCATGTTTTAGGTAACTTGTAATTCTAATAATTTAGCTTTCAATGTCCAGATTTCAATGATCAAATTTATTAAAATTTAGTTCAAGTTCTAAGTGTACTACTATGTACATAGACTGCAATATCTCATATAAAATTTAACTAGATTCTAATGTTTGAAATCTACTAAGGATGTGTTTTTAACATGATCTGATCATTGGTTCTGATATGATAGAAATAAATTCTGATCTGATCTGACATGATTTGAATGTAGTTATATATATTTAAAACTATTTCTAATCTAATCTGGACTTATCTGAATCCAATAACAATAAATAACAAGTGAAAAAATAAGTTGAGGAGAACATGACCCAATTGGAGTATGATGTTTAAAATAAATCCAAGCATTTATGAGCATTTTCTAGAGAAAAAAAAACTCTATAATCTACATTTCAATTTCCACCAAAGATTCACTTTACTTGAAAGCAGGAAAATAATTCAACATGTGCCCAAACATTTCATTCAACCACAGAATGGCTTTTGATCGTCTAAAAAAACGGATTAATCATACCAGCGACAATTGCATGGATGAACAACCCATTAGACATGCCAAGAACTTGTGATTCCAAATTCTTAAGAATCACATGTTCTATTCTTAATTAATTAGAAAAGTGAGAAAATTTCTTTTTTTTTTGGAAAACAATGCAAATATTTCTTTTGAAGATAGATGGAATGAATGTGCACAATCAACAATAATCAAAATAAAGTAGAACTTGAATTGATCAATATCTTTGCCAAATAAAACGGTTGACATTCACACTGTATATAAGGAAGAACCTATAGGACTGACTCAAATTACTCAACAACAAAGTCTCACCAAAAGCTAATAACTGAAAAAAGAAAGAAAAACTCAGAAAACCATTCCCAGTTTGTATGAAATCAGAATCCAATCATAGTAAAGAGAGAGAGAGCAGACCAAACAAAGAGAGATCATATATATATATATATTGGGTGAGAGTGTAGTATATGGGTGAGTGAGAGGTAGATGACAACGCTTCCGCACCCTCATCCACAGACAAACAAACAAACAAACAAACAAACAAACCGAGATTGTCTAGATGATGCTTGGTTCTGTAGAATCGGGCCGAGGTTGCGCAACTTTAGAAACTGGCAGTGCATAAAATGTACACTTGCCAATTGGGTTTCAGTGGACGGACGAATAAGGAAAGGGTAGTGATGTATTGGTAGTAGTATTGGTCAGGTAAAATGGATGGATGGAGATAGAGAGAGCTAATTAAGATGGTAATAAGGGAAAAAAAAAGAATTATTAAACAGACCCTTTTTCTGTTTGCCATTGCTAGCAGGTGCGACCTCTGCGACAACCAAGAGGGCCAGAGCTTTTGGTGATTTCGCCTACCATAGACGAGGACTTGGCACCCAAGCTCGAAGCTCTTGCGTAGCTGGCAGAAGCGCTCGCCCCGGAGGGTGTGAAGTATGCCCCGTTCCTCATCAAGTCCCCCTCAGATCTCCAGTTCCAGTCCTTCCATTGGCTCTCTGCCGTGTCCACCCTCTTCGTCACCTCCTTCGCATCTCTGTTTGCCGGGGCAAGGTACCTGTTCCCTTGGCTGTTGATGGTGGGGTTCGCGCTCCCGCCGATCGCGTACATCTCCCAGTGCGTGTAGTCGTTGTTCACCACGTGGAAGTACCCGTGCCTGCACCTCGGCATCCTCTGGATCAGCCCTTCCCCAAAGTGGTTGAACGCGATGGTGACCTGCATCTGCTTGTCCCTGGTGTAGGAGTCGCTGTGGCCCAGCAGCATCACCTCGTTGTGGTGGGCCAGGTGGTTGTTGGAGATGGTGATCGCGGTCGAGCCCATTATGGCATCCACCAGCCCATCCGCGCAGTGGCTCAGCGAGTTGTGGTCAATCCATATGTGGCTCGACCCGAAGATGGAGATGGCGTCCCCGTCCGCCATCGTCCTCCACCCGTAGTGAGTCGGGGAGCTCCTCACCATCGCGTTCCCCGTGGGTTTGCAGTCGTGGATGTGGAGCCCGTGGATGATGACGTTGGTGATGTACTGTATGGTGATGCAGGCCCCGTTCGCAATGTGGACGTTGACTCCCCGGGCATCAATGGTCTTGAAGCTGTTCATGATCAGCTCCTGCTTCAGGGTGATGACCATGTCACGCTGGAACACAATCCAGAGGGGTTCTTCCTGGATGACAGCATGGCGAAGAGTGCCGGCTTTGGGGTTCACCGGGTCATCGTTGCCCGAATCCGTGACCACATAGTATCTCCCATCCCGCCCGCCAATGGCGTTCCGCCCGAATCCGATCCCACACTGGGCTAGTTGCTTGCGGTTCTTGTGCCAATTCGGATCACACCGCCAGCAATCGTCAATGGGGTTCCCAGTCCCACAAGAAAAGTATCCCAGTTTACGCCTCTGCGTGCTGTTTCTGATGCTCCTGTTAATAACCCAATGTTTTTTTTCATTCAGTTACTCAAAATAATCCCCAAAAGCTTTTCACAATTCACACCAGATTTAAACCAAAGAAAATCTGTAGATGGGTAAAAGTTCAAAGGGCTAAACTTTCAATGTTTAAAACGATATATAGTCAACTAAATTACTTTTTATGAACAATTTTTACCATAATTGCACATTTACTACTACTGCACAAGACAGATCTGACAGTAACATCCATATGTTGAGTTGTTGACTTGGAGAACTAGGAGGCTAAGTAGACATCATGAAAATACAACAACATTTGACAATTGGGTTTATGGCTGATGACCTCTTTGCAAAGTTTACCAAATAAACAAGTGCTTCTTCCTCCACTAAAAATATAAAAATCACCTTTGACTTATTGTTTTAAACTTCAACCAAATGAGATGAATTAAAAGTTATTTTAAGGGCCATGTGAATAATAATGTTGCATAATTCCAAAATGGGAACAAAGACAACTTGTACTACAACAAATTAACAATATCCAAAAGGGTTGAGGGAGTGATTTAATAATTGGGTTTGTTGAATCACTTCCCTGTTAGTGGGTAGTACAATACATATTCAGTTAGGTGTGTACATGCGTTTTATGACTTGAGGTTTGGTTACAGGGTAGGTCTGTCACATGAGTGGGTTTCTTAAGGACCACAAGGAGAAACTATAAATGCAAATTGGGAACAAAAAAACATTAATAACACGAGGAAAATACAGTGCAGACTTATTATAGTTGAAGGACAAAAAGGGAAGAGGCACCTACTCTACAACCATGGAGGCAACCTCTTCTGGGTCATCCACTGCATGCTTGCTCAAAGCTTCCTCCACTTCTCCCAACCTAAACCATATAAAATTTGCATAAAATAAAATTAAAAATGTGCCCATATTATTTATTTATGAATAATTAATACTCATATTTAAGAAGTAACCATATTAATTACCCCTCCCAAAAAAATCTTTACATTTGACTTTTTTTGTCAAAGTTTACAATTTTTTAAAGACAAATTGTAAAAAATTGATACAATTTATTTAATCACAATCTAAATTTAATATACTTTGAAAATGAATCTAAGTAGAATTTGTATACCAATGGTCAAAGTGTTTAATTACTAACTATAAAAATACAAATACAAAGATATCTTTTATAAGGAGGAAAAAATAATTAATTAAGAATTTCTGCAAAAAAAAACGCTATTTAAGAACACAAGTAATAAAATACTCCGTATGTTTCCTTGTTCATTTTCTAAGCATACTTGCCAAGTACAAACATACCCTTAAGCACGCATTAACTTGCGGAAACAGAGAAGGGCAGTTTCGGAATTTCATCAACTGTTAAATGAGTGTCCTATATTCATGCATTATTTCACGCAGCAAAAGAAGGAATGACACGTAGGCGCAAAAGGTGAGAGATCCTAGAGAGAGAAACTGAAATAAAGTTTTTAAAGTTGTAGAGAGAGAAATGACACCACAGTTACTGAACAAACCGTACAATTGGTACAAATTAAAGGCTTTGGTCATGCAATGTGATTTTCTTTTTTCAGTTAAAGGTGATTTTGATTTTAGATTGGATTTTTAGCAGAGGGGTAGTTTCGGAAGTACACAAGGAAATGAGATATGCAGTTGTGGAGCATCGGATTCCAATGTGCGTGGGTTTTAACGGAATAAACGGTTGAGATCTGAGAATCTCAGCGGCGGAAACCGCAGGTTTTGGATTGAGGCGGATAAGAAGGGATCGGACGGTCGCAGTTCGGCGAGTATTTTGGAACCAAAAAAAAAAATGAACCGCCTAGATTCATTTCAAACAACGGCATCCGAGGAATAACCCGACCCGACTATCTGAGTCGACTCAGCAGTTCAAGCCATAAACAAAAGGGGACGCGGTACTAATTCCGAGTTAGCAGCTGAGTCACGTGTCCGAGTCATTACCTGACCGCCATTGTCGAGTTGTCAGGCCTCTCGTGCAACTTCGCATCCTCCACATTCCTGACAAATTCAAGCCAGAATAAGTAAATAAAACAAAATCTAGAAAACCAATGAACTAAATAGAGATTATTTCACAAAAATAAAACAGAAAAATCAGAGATTAGCTTCGAATCTGAGAGCTACGAAGAAAATCACGCCAAGAACAGCTCGCAGTTATGCCGGGAACAAAGGAAATTGAAAAAAAAAATTCGCATAAAAACTAAAACTCGTCCTTGAATAACTCATCCGGGAGCACAAATTTCTCAGAAATTCGAGAGATTCAAAGCCGGAAAGCATAGATTAAACGTGCATGCAGTCAAAATGAGAGTAGATCTATGGAGAGAGATGCCAAACCTGGACTCAGAAAAGCCGGTTTTCTGCACTCTGGCGGCGGCAATGCCGGCGACGAGCAAGAGAAACAGCACGGAAGTCAAACTCAGGCGACCACGCTTCACTGAGACCGCCATTGAAGACGCTTTCTAAGCTTTCCTTCCTCTCTCTAGAGCTTTTCAGATCTGAACAGAGCGATGGAGAAATATAGAGAGAGAGAAAGAACAGAGGAAAGCCTGAGAGAGACAGAGAGAGAGAGATGAAGAAGACGAAGCGCTAAGCCCAACGTAACGGCCTGACTTTATATAAGACCCACTGCGGCAATCAGATAACGACCGCACTAACGGCCGTCTATTAACCGATTTAAACGGAGATAACGGGGAAAGGGAGGTAAAAAGTATACTCGGGTTCTCGGGTAAGGTTTTTCGGGCTCGACTATTTAAATTCATCGGGTTTACCTAAACCTTTTACTTTTACAGTTTTGTTGCTCTACTTTTAAGGTTGAATTTGGACTGCCATAGACCAATAGACCTTAGTCCATTTTCACGTGTTCACCACTTCACCTTGACTCCATTCTTTTTCTTTTTTTCCTTTTTTATGTAAATTTTTTTATCTAGCAATAAACAAACTTTTAGGTTTTAAAGAAAAAAAGATTTAACAAAGTCTCAGAGTTAAATTGAACAATAATATCGATCTCACAAATAAAAAATATGCTGGACAACTAAGTTTGTTACTGTTCAAATCCTTCCTGCCGTTGTTGTTACTAAATAAAAAATATGATGGACAATGGACATCAGATGGATGTTCATAATGCATTTCTTCACGTAGATCTCAAAGAAGAGGTATATATGTAGTTGCCTCCATGTTCAGTAGCTCGCCAATAAGGTTTGACTTGTTGCCAGCACAAATCTTTGTATGGGTTGCGTCCCAACCCTATACTTACTCCCAACTCTCCCCCAACATCCATTCCTAACTCAATACTTGCCATGGTACCTCCTCATGTTCGCCCTTCCCACCATTTAGTCCGGTTGTTAAGCAACAGATGATTCGTCTTCTTTTTGCATTTACTTTTTCTTTTCAATGGCCTCTTCAATAATTGGATGCCTCAAATGCCTTTTCACTCAACGGGCTATTTTGATCCACACTTCCCTTGGCATGTTTGTAAACTCACAAAGTCCTTGTATGGGCTTACACAAGCTCCATGGGCTAGGTATCTGCAACTTTCTGCCTTCCTCTTTGCCTATGATTTTTTTAAAAATGTGCATGACACTAGTCTTTTTAGAAATATTTGTACTAAATAATACTAAAACTTAAGTCATTTTTTCTAAATAGCACTTAAATTGTTTTATTTCTTAAATAGCACTTAATAATGTCCAGTGATGACGAATATTTACTTGAATAATGACTAATGCATAATGACTAAAAGTGGTACATTGGAAAAAACATATGTGGTGCTATTTAGTGAAAGTCATTATGTTTTAGTGCTATTTAAGTAAATTCCCCAGTCTTTTTATCCCCTCCACAACACCATTGGTGCTCTTATTTTGCTTGTCTATATGGATGATATTATATATTGTCACAGGTAGCTCTTGATCTCTTGTTCAACAATTTATTAATCACATGTGCAAAGAATTTCGGACAAAAGATCTTGGTCCTCTTCATTACTTTCTCGGGCTGGAGGTATGTCGTGGTGGCTCGTTGCCTGTGCTATCACAACAAAAATATGTGACCGAGCTCTTACACCATGTCGAGATGGAGGACTCTCAGCAGTCACCTACCCAGCTGCCCGTGCGATAGTCGGTCGAGGAAGAGGGTGATCACCCCTTTGCTGATCCCACTTTGTTTCGTAGTCTTGTTGGTATTCTTCAGTATGTATTTCACCACCATTCGTCCTGATATTCAATTTTCTCTCAACTATATTTGTCAAAGGATGCAGCTCCCACAGAAAATGACTTTCAGAGTTTAAAGTGGATTTAATGCTTTGTCAAGGGAACACTTCATCTTGGTCTTGTTTTTCAAGCTGGTTACCTACAGCTACGTGCTTATGCTGATTTAGACTAGGCAAATGATATGACTGATGGGCACTCAGTTACTGGATATGTAGTCTATTTGGGGTCGAACTTGATTTCCTAGGGTACGGAAATACAAACTTGTGTGTCTAAGTATTCCACTGAGGTAGAATATCGAGCTCTGTCTGTTCCAGCATCCGAGGTTATGTGGTTAATCTATATTTTGATTAAACTTCGTGTTTCTACTCCACCTCATCTTTTTGTGTTAATCAAGAACCGTGTTTTTCATAAATGTATGAAACATGTGGGAAATGACTGTTACTTTATTCGAGAACAAGTTATTGTTGAAACAATTAGTGTGTCACATGTTTTTTCTGAAGATCAGCTAGCCGACTCACTGACTAAAGCTTTGCTATCGCCACGCTTCTAGAGCCTTGTGACCAAGCTTCCACTCGTTACACGGAATTCAGCTTGAGGGAGAGGATGTTAGGCAATCATAATAGATATACATTATTTGTGGGAGTCTTTATATTTTAGTTAATTACCTTTTATGATTCCCTGTTATGTTTAGAATCCTCTCTATATGTACACACTTATATTCTTCATATTTCTCAATGAATACAATTATTCAATTATTTTACTTAATTTTTTCCTAAACTTTTAGTTTGATTACAAAAAATGTTTAAAAAAAATGAAAAAGGGTGATTAATCTTCTCTGTATCGTTCTAATTTTATCAGATGTCCCTGAAGAATGACTATATATTGGAGTTTGTTTAGAGAAGTGAAAAAAAAATTATTCCTTATAAGTCACATACTTTATTTTATTTTACTTTTCTTAATGAAAACGTGTGAATGCGAACTTGATTTTGCAATTGGTACAAGAAAGTGTAAGGGTTTTCAAAGGGAAAATAATTACTAACGTCCAAGTAAAGCTTATATAAATGACGTTTAATAAAACCTAGTTAATCTACGTACAAAATTAAATGTCCCTCAAGGATTTGGAGAAGTACGTATGCATGTTGTTTGATGGATGGATGATGAATTTCAACTAAAAATGATAAATGCCTTGAAAACCCGGCAACATTTAAGTCTAATAAGGAATGAAAAAGAAGTCTATGAAAGTTTTTACCTCCTAATTAATATGGTATACATACAAATAATGACTATTTAGACTTTCTTCTCATTTCAATATGAAAATAGTGGAGGATAATAGTGAGATATTCGCCTTGTTTGGATGTGAGTTGGCTGTCGGCTATTGGCCCTTAGCTATTTGAGTCAGATGTTCTGAATGTCTATTTAATTTAGTTGATTTGATCGACAGGATTTGTTGGTTAAATGTTAAAAATGTTTGGTAAAATTAACTGTTTGGAAATAGATGTTTTAAGATGTAAAGGCTATAGTTGTGTGTGTGTATGTGTGTGTGTGTATATATATTTACACACACACATATAAACACAGACATACATACATCTTATATACTCACACACATTTGTAACAAAATAAACAAAATATTTGTTTTTGATTTTTGAATATGTAAAAATTAATTCTTGAAAATGCAATATTATACCTCTGTTTCGGAGTATTTGTCTAACCGTTTTCAACCTTTGACCTATAACTAAATAAAATATACTCCGTATATTATATATTAATTAAATAAAATAATATTTTAAAAATGTTTTATATAAAACTTTGTAAAACTTTTTTTGTATCAATATCTAATATCCTTTTTATTTAATTTTGGGTCAAAGTTTACCAATTTTGATTCCAAAAGTTAAAAGTGGATAAAATATTTCAAGACGGAGGGATTATACAACTTTTGAATGTGTGTGAATATATAATATTTGCCTTGATGTACACATGTTTTTCGAGAATCTTAGGGATACACAAAAAGGTGTACTCCTATTATACATCAAGGCAAACACAGATATAGTGTGTGAATATATAATATTTGCCTTAAAATCTAGGAATAATTACTCTGTATTAATTAATAATGTGAAATCTTTGCTAATTGCCATAAAATATGAATGAATTAATTGTTCTACATGTTCTTTATTTTAAATAATTTACGTTTTTGTGTTTGGGTCTGGACTCTACCGCACCATTGGAGAAATTTCTTCACTGCAAAATAGGTTTTGGGGGACGGTTTTAACTCAAAAAAATTTGCTTTAACTTTCCTTAAAATATAAGCCCTTAAGCAGTAAGAAATTTTTTTTAAAAAAAATGTATACCATTATGTACATCAATTTCAACTTTTGCATCATACACATTAAAATTATCCTTATCGCAGACATTATGCATTTGTGCAGCAACAATTTTATTCTTATAGTTGAAAAATGATTATTGTTGTGTACACTAACATGGTTCAAGAACACAATAGTGATTTTGTCATTTACTTATTTTCTTATAATATTATTGAATTAATTATCATTTAAATATAATTATCAGACCATTAGGAATAAAACTTTTTGGACCTTTTTTTCTATTTCGGCCCAAGTCGTTGAATTCTTAGAACCGACCCTGATTAATAATACGGAGTATTAAATTTCAATATACTACATTTGTAGGGATTAGAAGAGATGTGTAGGATGAGGTTTTCCTTTTTGTAAGGTATCTTGTATTGTTTTCTTTGAGGTGAATGAAAATATGCATGTAGAAGGCAGATACTCCCTCCGTCCTATAATGATCTTCCCAGAGCACTATTCCAACTTCACGGGAATTTATATTTATTTGTGTTTTTTCATTGCCTATATGATAAAATAAAATATTCTTGTCACCACTTGTTTTGTTGAACTTTTGGTGTAGTTTTTAAATATGTATGTTTTATTTTTTTATTTCTATACCAATATTTAAATAAAATAGATTGAAAAATCTTGGGATTTTTCTTCGTTTTGCGAACCGAAAAGATCATTATAGGACGGAGGGAGTATATATATTTTGCAACCTCAAATGATTTTGATGCAACCGACCTGATGATGGTTTGGTAAGGCCTGAAGGCAGAAGCACAACGATTGGTAATGGAAATTGATTGATGGTGATCCTACCGTCGCTGGCAAAACCATGGTGACGGCGGCGCATGCGGAAGCTACAGACTAGAGCAAACTAGGGTTTTAGCTTTCAGATGTTGGGTCCAATACCATGTAGAATTTTATTATTAGAACTGAACTTGATGAATACATTGATCACAAATGCCTTATTTATACAAACATAACTCCAACCTAATTACAAGCCCACTAACAGGCCCGATAATACCAAAACCTAATTAGATCCGCTAACAATGCATTTTAATAAGAATAATAATTATCCATATGAATGAAAATATGCATTTAAAAATATTATTAATAATAAGAATAAGAATAATATGAAAATTTAAACTTCAACAAATTTTTGAAAACTCTTTCAATTTTTCCCAATTGTTTTCCAATTTTATCCATTTTTTATTTTTGTTTCTTCCAAATCCTTTCAACGTTAACATTCAATTCAATTTTTTTTCAAGCATAAAGAAAAGAGTCTTAAGTGTGTTTTTATTGTGATAAACTAGTCCAATTAGAATAGTGATTAAGCCTGCGACAGGCGTTAATTAATGAATTAAAACAGTAATCTATAACTAATTTGGGTACAATTATTTATAATTTGAATAATGTTTTTAATTACGACGTGCAATATGTTAGTCACACGCAAGTTCTTCCACAAGTAAATTAGGCCCGATCCATACCCAGGTCAACATTTCCGACACTCCATCTTAATTTGGATCCATGTCCCTTTTGGTTATTGAAATTTTAGTCTATTAGGTTGGGACATTTACATGTTATCAATACATTAATCACTAATAATTCTTTTTTCTCTTAACTTTCTTAATCATATTTTTTAAATTTTAATTGCACATTATAAAAAAGATACATTGAGTTTTTATATACATTAATATTAATAGATTAATTTTGGAACATAATTTTAGTGTCAAGGAACCAACTCAACCAAAAGCTCAAGCTTGTGGCTGTGGCCCAAGAATGATTATTATATACTCTAACACGCCCCCTCACGTGCAGGCGTGACCTCTTTGAGCCTTGCACGTGAAACCTTAATTTTTTTTAAACTGGATGGCGGTGAGTTTCGAACTCGTGACCTCTTGGTCATCAAGGCTCTGATACCATGTCAATATTAGTCCGAATATTTTGTTTGAGGGAAGCATATTCGGAAGGGAGACCTCGCAGAACACTAAGAAGCACATCTTGTTCCGGGACAGGCTCTCGTGCTAAGGCAAAGGCAGTGACAATTTTGAGTGCGCCATCAATGTAGCTTTGCATGGAGGACTATCCTTTGCGTAGATTATGTAATTGTTCTTTTAATTGGAAGATATGGGTACGAGAGAGTGAATTATACCGTTGATGGAGATGATCCCAGATTGCAGAAGCGGTAGGGCAAAGATGCACAAGATTCTGAACCGATGGAGATAGAATGGCGAGAAGCGAGGCACGCAGCTGGGCATCAATGATAGACCACTGTTCATAAGCCGGATTTGGTTTGACAGCCGGCTCCTTGTCAGCAGCAGCCGGTGCCTTCTCATTAGGTATGGTTGGCGGGGGCGGCATGAGGGTTCCGTCGACATATTCAAACAACCGGTGAGCAACGAGCGTAGCCTTCACGGTAGATGACCACGAGGGATAATTATTATCTTCCAATTTTGTGGGTACGAGGGAGTGAAGATTGCGGAGAAAAAGTTTCAAACCGCCAGGAAGGTCGGCAAAGGGATCACCGGTCTTCGACATAGGTAACGATCAAAAGATCACTGTAAGAGGAGGATGGCTGTGAAGCCGAGAAAGAGAAAGAAACGGCGTCAAGGCCTAGAGTTTGGGAGAATATCTGAGCTCCAATACCATGTCAAGGAACCAACTCAACCAAAAGCTCAAGCTTGTGGTTGTGGCCCAAGAATGATTATTATATACTCTAACATTTAGAATATTTTATTCTCCATAATATATTTTTATGTATAAATATTCATATTAATGGTCAAATTATTGAGTTGAAGACTCTGAAAAATCAAATGAGAAGTTAATTTTTAGAATAGAGGGAGTACTACTATTCTAATTTTTTAAATCCCAAAGCTATCGTTCTCTTTAATTTACTTTTTGTTAATTTATATAATTCAGTTCAACCTTTCAAAAAAAAATACTCCTTTCATCCCTAAATTGATTACAAATTGGATGTTACGAGGCAAAATCTCTTGTCTTTTAATTTGAAATCGTTTTATTTACAAATTGGTATATCAATAAGAAATAAAAATTACATATTAAAAGGATACGTCAAAAATTCTACAAAAGGAGAGTCGACAAGAATATTCTACTTTATCATATATTTAACGAAAACACACAAATAAAAAAATATTATAGAGGGGAGAGAAAAAAATCGTAATCTATTTCGAAACAAAGGGAGTAGTTCAGTTCGACACTCAATCAATTAAAATCATAATAAACATTTAATACAATCTAATTTATTTTAGTTGGATAATTTCAATTTAGGAAAAAAGACTCTTTATCTTTTCTTTTACCTTCAAATTTATATTTCTCATTTGATATTTTGTTGGAAGCTACTATCAAATTAAAGACTCCATCCGTCTCGCTGGAAATTCCCGACCTTTGTTGCGGTGTAGTTTTCACCAAAGATTGACTTAATAACGAGACAAAGGAGGTACTATCTTAGCTTCTAGTTGCATTTCGAGAAATTCAGATAGTTAGGGGTACCATTGGTCGGAGATTCAGGACAATTTCCTAAATTTTTTAAAAATATAAGCATATACTTCGTATAACAAACCACTTATATGTTAGAAAAAATAAGTAGATTTTACTTATTTTTAAGCTATTTTTTCGTTCCTCTGTTTTAATAAGATTATTTACAAAATTATCTCTCACCTATTATGAATATCCGAAAATGACTTATTATTTAAATGATTTTTTGTACACGGAAGAATATTTAACTTATAAACCGCTTATGTGTTAGAGTGTAGTATCCCACATCAAAAAAGTGAGAAAAAAAATTGGTACATAAGTTTTTGAGTTAAACTAAATAATCTATTGGATTCAATCTTTTAATGTGGTTAGTTCAACTTATTAAGTCTCCGATGACCTAATCTAATTACTCCTACCCCATTCTAAATTTCATCATGGCATCAAAGCCAGCTTTAGCCAACTCATCTCACAAGGTATCCGCCTAGACGTTTATTCCTAACGGCCCTAACGTTTAGTCCAATTGTTTATGTGGTATACATTCCAACGACCAGTGGCCCGTTTAACCCGATTGCTCCTCAGGAAGTCCATACCCAATGACTCATGATCCTTCACGTGTTGGCGCTAAAAATAAGACGAGAATCTATTTACAAATGGTCAATCAGTTAGATTCAAAATGACCCGATTACCACTTGAGGAGGAGTGTTAGAGTGTAGTATCCCACACCGGAAAAGTAAGAAAGAAATAATTGGTATATAAGCTCCTAAGTTGAACTGAGTAATTGATTGAATTCAATCTTTTAATGTGATTCAACCTAAGTGTCTTATAACCTAATCCAATTATTCCTACCTCATTATAAATTTCATTCGTGTTGGAGTCGTGTGTTCGGATATTTCCCACACTTACAAATCAATCAAAATACTACCCCAATATAAAAAAATGTGAAGTTCACTCAGGGGCTGTTTGTTTCAGCCTCTTAATGGTTCAGATGTCTGAATGATTCAGCACTTAATGGTTCAGACTGTTTGTTTCAGCCTCTTAATGGTTCAGATGTCTGAATGGTTAAGAGATTTGCCTCTGAATGGTTAAGTATTATACAGAGTCTGAATGGTTAAGAGCTCTTATCTGAATTGATCAGACATTTGCCTCTGAATAGTTAAACAATATACTAGCTCTTAATGGTTCAGACCTCTTACTGGTTCAGCACTTACCCATTCAGAAGTTANCTGTTTGTTTCAGCCTCTTAATGGTTCAGATGTCTGAATGGTTAAGAGATTTGCCTCTGAATGGTTAAGTATTATACAGAGTCTGAATGGTTAAGAGCTCTTATCTGAATTGATCAGACATTTGCCTCTGAATAGTTAAACAATATACTAGCTCTTAATGGTTCAGACCTCTTACTGGTTCAGCACTTACCCATTCAGAAGTTACCAAACAGTCCCTCAATACTTTATACTCTGCCAAGTTCACTCGACCCACTGAAATTCCAACATGTTATCGGAGCCAAGTTTAGTTTGAGTTCGATTCATCTTGGTAATCACCGAGCTAAGCTAGCTATAAGAGATTGAGATGCTAGCTAGACTCATTCGTCTAAGTAGTAACTATACCTTTCTTGGTAATCACCACTTGAGGGTGGTGTTGGAGTCGTGGGTTGGGTTATATCCCACACCGAGAAATCAATCAAAATACGAGTCCAATATAAAGAAAGGTGAAATAATATTCATTAACTTAAACTTTTGAATAGAAAGTGGATCGGGCTTTTATATGGTTAAGTGGTCGAATATTACTCAACACTCTACCCAGTTTGTATTCGGATCACCGAAATTCCAACATTATGAATTAAGAATTGATTACAAAGAACATCACAATAAAAATCAAAAAAGAAAAACAGCCACCATAAATATACAAAACCTGAAAAACACTTATAATTACTCCATGTTTTTGTTTTAAGAAACCCAAAAGAACAATTAGTTGTAAAGACTAATAAAAAGCGGCATTCATAAAACGGACATGGAAGGATAGATACTTCGTACTCCGTATCTATGTTGTGACGATGCGCCAAAAGTGAAATCATAATGTACTTTTTCTTGCTTTTCATTTTTTATATTTTTTCAATCTCAAATTTGATTACAAATTACGGAGTAAGATTTACGAAGTAAAATTTCATTATTTTTTAAAATTATTTTATTTATAAATTGTTACATCAATAAAACGTCATTTTCATTATTTTTTATTTTTATTTTTTATTTTTTTCTAAGGAAAGACTAATCTTTAAAAACACTTTCTCAATTCAAATCACCTACTTACCTCTATTGCATCTGTTCTTGTGTATTCTTTCAATTTAATTTTTTATTCAAATTGAACGAAATTTGATAAAATTTTGAAAGGTCTTAACAAGAAAAATCTAATGAAATCATTTTTGTACAAATATAAATTACAATTTTTATATAATTGAGTTTTTATTTAATAAAAATTCATTCCGACAAATACACAGAGATTAAGGGAATATTAAAATATCAATCACATCTAATTTCCCTCTTAAAAATAAGGGAAATATGGAAAACTAAACAACAAATTAAAATACACTCGAGTACTCCACTTAAATTTATATACAGTATAAAAAATTAATTTAAGAAAAATGTTAAGGAATAAAGAAAATTTCTTAAGATGATTATAATGATAATAAGTTTACATGAGATTAATAGAGCCACTAATGTTACACCACTTCAAGTGGTGTAACATCGTGACACCAATAGTTTTTTGGGATAATTACGGTACTTCGTTCGTAAAATTGATGTTTCATACCCCGCCCAAACCTCCCTGACCCATCAATTTCACCCACCCCCCCCCCCCCCCCCCCCCCCCTA